TAAAGGGCCCTCTTCTGCCACTTGGAGAAAGGCTGAAGGGTTGGTTGCTTTACTTAATTGTTTTTTGGACCATTGTTTGTGTTATGAGGTCTGGCTGAGGGGTCTCAAGGGATTAAAGCCAGGCCGCTGGTACCCAGGCCTTCTTGCAGCCTATTTGGACTGTCTGAAGGGCTCCTAGGGAACAAAGCCCTCCAGCACAGCAGCAGGCACATCAGCGCACTAAACAGTATTCTAACAAGAAGAACCAATTTGGGCAGGTAGGAAATGCTGAGCAGGCTCCTGTTTTTTTGACATGCCATGCAAAAGCAATACTACAGCTCACAAAATGGAAGGAAGGTACAAACAATCATGAAATGACACCCAGCAAATGACCATAATGCTTTGTGTGACAGCAACTGGATGGACACTTCCTCAAATAAAGTCTTTAAAAGTAAAATGCTGCCAGGGCAGAGTTTTCCAAAATAGGTATTTGTTCAGGATCAGGCAAAAGGATGGATGAGAGAGGAACTTAGACTGAACTGGTCAAAGGATGCATGGTTTAGGGTACCTGAGGCCCTGTTAAAACAATTTGTTGCTTGTTTTTTATATAAAATTGACACAGCTAAGAAAATATTGCATGAACATAGACCATCACAGCTTCAGCCACCAAATGTGTATATGAACCAGCTGTTTAAATATAAAAACTATTTTTGCAAATGGCTTATTAATAGCAAGAAACCACTGATGACAACTGCCTGAATACAGCCTAGGCCTTTTCCTCTGCTGTGTGAATGGACTATTATAAGGTCTTTTTGGAAAAGAGACAGTGATACATCCCTATGAAGCTTGGAGGAACAGATAATAATGTTGTCTGGGAGATGTCAGGTGATTAAAGATGACATCCTTTCCTCAGTCTGAAAGGATAATTAGGAGAGATTTATGCTGTTTACACTTACAGAATTCCACTGAAGAAAGTTAAACTTTTTAATATAAATACAGTAGCTCTCCTAGGCACATAGGTACAATTACAGGTATATAAGCCTCTTATTTGATTTGTCTGTCTTAATTTAAGAGTTAGTAAGTGTAGGTATATCTTAAATTTGAGGATACCTTATATTTGAAGGGATGTGGTATATGTCTGGTACTTGATACTTCCTTAGAAACTGTTATAGCCTAGACCAGGGGTACTCAACCTCTGGCCCATTGGCCAAATGCAGCCTGTGGTGCTGGCCTTCAGGGCTTTCCATGGGTTAGGAAATTTGGTGGCAGGGGATCAGTGGCAATTAATACAACCATCCTCTCCCACTGCCAAATTCTAAAACCGTGGGCCCTGGACCATGCTCCCTTCCCTCCACATGGCCAGGTTGGGGTTGGGCCATGCCTCCTTCCTCCTGTGGGACCTAACCATTACCCCTCTCTTCCGTGCAGCTGGATTGGGGCTTGGCGCATCAACCCTATGGCTGGATTGGAGCCGAGCCATAACCCCTCCCCACCACGGGGCCACGTCATGCCCCCTCTCCCTATGGGCCGGGTTGGGGCCAGGCTGCATGGCTGGAGGGGACCATTGGTTAGATCTGTCCCTAGGACAGACTGGGCACCTCCCATCTGGCCAACTGGCCTAGAGCAGTGGTTCTTAAACTTTCTGGACTCGAGACAGCTCCCTATAACCTTTGTGAACTGAGTGGCATCCAATTTCAAAAACGTATTTATAGATTACAGTGCTTTCTTCCTTTCAGAGCAGTGTGGATGGAAGATCATCCAGGGAGGGACAAGTTTGAGCCTGTCCTGTCTACTCAATTCATCTGCTTATCTTCTTATATCTCACCACACCCTTCAAAAGATGTAGTGCACGCCAGGGTGTCCTGTCACCCTGGTTTATAATCACTGGCCTAGACCAATAGAGACCAACCTTTTTTGGCCAACATGCCACCAAATAAGTCCTGCCCACTTCCAGATTGCCGTTTCAGTCCCCATTCTCAGTTTGATCTGCTGCTGTACTCTCCTCCCTGCCTATTCTGCACTGTTCTCCCTGCTCTTTGCTGCATGTGAAACAAAATGACTGCATGTGCCACTTGTGGCATGTGTGCTGAAGGTTGGCCACCTCTGCTCTAGACGTTTTTAAAACCTTTATTTACTTGATAGGCCATAATAGATTCTTTTAAGCCAACCTGCAGCTCAGTGGTATTTTGGAATAGATGCACAAAATTTATATTAAACTGAATTTTCTTGACCTTCAATGCTAACCATCACATAGTGGAATTAAGTTTCAGGGACATATCATAAATCCTAGCTGGAACATGCAACTGAAGCCATAGTTACTGATTCTGGATAGAAGTCCCTGACATTCTGTCAGACATTGACTTACAAGGGATTTCTCCAATTTTTTTCTTTCCATTGAGTTTGTCCCTCTAGGTCAGTGGTTCCCAATCTTTTTTTCCCTGCACCCCGCTGCTGGGAGCAGAGTACGGTGGTGGTGGCGGCAGGGGCCTGGGGTGCAGCTCGTTTTTTTTGTGCGGTGCAGCCGACATTGCCCCCATGACCCTCATTTGGGTTGCGATCCAGGGTTGGGACTGCTGCTCTAGGTACTGTAATAGGGTGTGTACTATTGGGCTATCTGGCAGTGATTGGGCTATCTGTGGGCTGCACCCCATGTGTGGTTGATGTGCGGTCTCACATACCCAGATCTATCTCTGCACTGCCTAGATGGGGCTCTGTACTGCCCTAGCCCTACATGCCTGATCTAACATGAAGGCCTATGCTATCTGCCTGCAGGGCTCCCCATGGTTCTGGAAATCGGGCAGTTGTGGAGTGGCAATTAACGCTGCCATCATTCCCCAGACTCAAAAGTTTTAGACCCATGACTCTGTGGGCTGGATCCGGCTCAGGGGCTGGGGGTTGAGCACCTCTGCTCATAGAATCATAGAAAATCAGGGTTTAGAAGGGACCTCCAGAGGTCATCTAGTCCAACCCTCTGCTCAAAACCATCCCCAACTAGATCATCCCAGCTAAGGGAGGCTTTGTCCAGCCAGGTCTTAAAAACTGGTTCCAGTGTTTTACTTTGTCTCTGGTTCCAGTGTTTTACTACCCTCCTAGTGAGGAAGTTCTTCCTAATAGCTAATCTAAACTTCCCTTGCTGCAAGTTGAGACTGCTGCTTCTTGTTCTTAATGGCATTTCAAGCTGGACACTCCAAAATTGAGGACCCCAAAATCATTAGTCCTTTTTAGAAGTCTTGGCTTAAGGCATCTACATAGGTGCTGACCCTGACCTGAAATGCACACACAGGCCTCTTAATTTTTCTAATGTTATTTACCTGCTTAGTTTAGTTAAACTTAAATGTTTGGAGCAGTGATTCTCAATCAGGATGTTGCACCCTCTGGTGCCATGAGATCCTTTAAAGGGTGCTTAGGGTGCTGCACAATATTAGCGCTGCTAGGTATACAAACACCTACACGTAATTTCCAAGATAAACCAGGAGGTTTAAGATAAGAATCCATGCTGTTCAATACATTCTGACCTGTTGTGGTCTTTATGAATTCTTTGCCACAGAAGAATTGCTCTATTGCTTTTTGTGGTCAAAAAATGAGTGAAGGTTAAGAGCTGGCATTTTCTGAGGATCCTTTGAGTCTAAAAATGTTGAGAACCACTGCTTCAGAGGATGGGAATGTAGCAATTAAATTGAAACCAATCAAGGGTTTTTTTTAAGTTTACAATTCACTAGAATTAACCAGACCGTAATAGATATGTTGCCTTCGAATCCTTTGTTCCAGTACCCAGTATCCTGTATTGCTAGTATGAACAGCAGTAGATTGGACAGCAAGGACTGAAAGAAGAAAATCTTTACAGTCATGTGAACTGGATGATTTATGAACAATGTGTGGGGTAAGAATTTAGAGAATATAAATTATGCCGGTTCATCATGTTGACTTATTTTAATATTTCCCACATGTTTCTATGACAACTTTCATGGAATATATATTTTAACTTTACTTGCACAGAGGAAACTTGTCAGAACTGCACATTTCACTTGATTTTATGCCTGAATGCTGTGTCTAATGTAGGTTGTAAATCTTATTGGACAAACATTTAAGAGGGTTTTCATCACAGTGGCTCTCGCGGCAATTCTGAAGTTTTTAATAAGCATAATTTAAATTGAAAAGGAACTTTTAAACCCCACTGTTCTGTATAGACTTCAAAAGGGGATCGGTGAATCTTACACACATTACCAGAAGTCTCCACAGTAAATATTGCTGAATGTGTTAGGCAGTTAAACACATCGTTAAAACTTTTCAATCAATAAACCTTGGAAAAATAACTTGTGGCCAATATTTCATTTCCTGTTTTCCCCACAGTAGGTACAAGATACATTCTACATTTTCAGCTTTTCTCCCTTATGGAAAAATCAGTTGGAAAAGTTCTTTATACTCCCATAAAAGCTCTTTTATGGGATATGAAAGCACATTAATTAGAACAAGATTTTCTTTAAAGAAATATGAAGATACAGGACTAAATGGAATTATTATTACCGGCATCATTCTGAAATGAATTAAATAATGAGAGTTCTCCTCTTGCAAGCTGTTTTGCCACATAGCTATTAATTTGAGTGTGCATCTGAATCCAATGTAATGAAAAGCTAAGGCAGGTTATGTTGACAGGCTGTTTAGTGTAATTAGCCAATAGGCCAGGAAGTGGGGAGAATTGTTAACCTCACAGCCCTACTTCTCAAAATCTCCAAAATTTAAAACTAAATAGACTATAATCATCCCTGAAAAATAATAGATGCATATAGAAAATCGCTATCATTAATTTACTATTATAGACCACTGTAGCATGGCACTAAGGTGCCTGCTACTTGGAGAGCCGAGATAACTCCTCAGGTGCCAGTTGCTGAGGCAACTAGAGGGAACTAGTGACCCACACCTGCCTAGGCAGCTGACAAGAAGGGGCTCCTATATAACTCACAGGCAGGAGACCAGGAGGCAGTTCCCTGCTGGCAGCCAAGGGGGAAGGAGCTCTGCCTGAGCGAGCAGAGGGAAGAACCCTGAATGCATCAGCCGTGAGACTGGTAAAGGATGGAGCACTCTAGGGGTGGCTGGATTAATGTTATAGCTGGATGGCTGGAGTTTGTGTTGTAGCCCAGGGGCTTGTTTTTTGTTTGCTGTTTGTGTCCGGTGGTTTGGGTGAGGCTAAGAGGGGATGGAGGAGGCCTCATAGGGGACCCGCAGCAGCTTGGGAACCCTAAACCCAGAGAGAGAGAGAGAGGGGGCAGTGAGAAGCCGTAGAGAGAGAGACTGAACAATGTCAGCTCCATCTGTGAGTCTTGGGGTGTGGTACAGGGGTGGTTGGAGCCATGCATAGCCCAGAAGGCGGGGGTGTACAGATCACCCAATACAGGAAAGGAACTAGTAATAACAAGAGAACCGTGGACAAGAGGACGAAAGGCAGCCTCCCTATAAAATATATATATGAGATCAAAGTCGTGGTGGGTGAGAATTTGAGGGTGCTAGTCGGTAGCTTGACACGGTAAAGGAGGCAGCAGGGGAGAGCACAGCGACCCTGACCGCCCTCCTGTTACAACCACCATATCCAGAAAACTCATGGTGGCTTACAATAAAAGAGAAAAAACCATGACATAAGAAACAACAATAGACTCCTATTACTGTATTTGCTCAAATACAATATAAGGTTTTTGTCCCCATTTAGTGATTTAATGTGGGGAGGAAGCCCCTTGTCTTGGATCTGAGTTCAAGGCAGTGGGAGGGAGGGTGCAGGCTGCTGCTGTGGCTCCAGCTCCTGACCCTGAGCTGGGGTTGGGGCCCATGTCATCTGCCCCACTTCCCACACCTGCCCCTCCCTTGCCTGGGGCATGGAGCACATACTTACTATGGCCCCAGCCCTGTCTGCTAACAGCAGTTGTAGTGACAGGGGAGGCAGGTGTGGAAGCAGGCACTTTGATGCACGTGGAGGGCAGGTGCCAGGGGGTGCAGGCATAGGGGGCAGCAAGTAGCAGGGGGACAGGTGACAAGGGGAAGGGAGGTAAGTGGTGATGGAAATGCAGTGGTGGTGTTAGGGGGATGAATTTAAGATGACCCTCCAATAATTACATTCTATACATGGAAAATTATAACAAATTTATATTTTTTTCCATTTATAGAATCTAATTATTATTAGTGTAACAGACTGCCAATGTGGGCTCACCAGATCAGCTTGAGATACTTACCCTGAGCTAGAAACAGTGCCAGTGAATTCTGAGCAACCCCAAGGGTGGAGCAGGGGAGCCCTGCCCTGTGGAAAAGGAGGAGCCAATTGAAAGAAGGGGTTTTTAATCCCCTCATTCGTGTGGAAGGGGGATGGCCGGAGTTGGGGGCCTGCCACCCTGAGCCCTGGTTGGCAAGCCAGGGAGGGACTGCTGGAGGGGATAAAAGCAGCAGCCAAACTGGTGTGTGGGAGCTGCTGACAGTGACTCTGGAGAATGTCACAGGAGACGTAAGAAGAGCTGGGGAGAGCTGACCCAGTGGTGGGAGCAGTGAGACCCCTCTGAAAAGCCACGAAGGCCCTGGGAGAAGAAGGCAGCGGCAGTTAGCCGTGCCTCCAGCCCTGCAGCAGAGAGGGAGCTGTGGCCAGGGCTTGGGGCAGACAGCTGGTGCCCCAAGGCCCTATTGCAGGTGCTGGACGTTCTGGGTGTCCCGGACGCTAGGGGTGGCAGTCGGGGCCCCCCCTCCACTGTGGAGAAGAAGCAGCGGCCAGGAGTGCAGGCAGCATCCTTATCTGGAGCAGGGAGCTGGTCTGGTGAGTTGAGGAAACTCCTTACCTTCCCTGGGGAAGCAGGACAGCAGCAGGCAAGGCATTGGGATCCTGAGGAACAGCAGAGCGCCAGGGTGAGGGTCCCTGGGAGCTCGGGGCACAGGCCGATGCTCGGAGCAGGATTGGAGAGCAGTGTGCATGTGGGGTGCCCGGCTAGTGATGTGGAGCAGGGGTTTAGAGAAATGACCCCTGGGAGCTGCCTGAG